CAGCTCTCAGCCGAAAACAAGAAAGCGTGTCTCCAGCACCTGAGAAGTCAAAATAATAAGGGCAAGGAGAAAGAGAAACCTGCGCCGAGAAAGAAAGGGAAAGGTACGCACCATCTCTCTGCATTACTTTTTATGCGCTAGGCTTCCTTTTCAGCATATTTTTACTACAACATACACTTACTCTTTTCAAGGGTCACGATCAGGAAAGAATGCACGTCCTTCTGGTATTTCAGACACGGAGACAAGCCAGTTAGACGATAAACTGAAGGAAGAGGCTGAGATCATTGAACAGAAAGACACAAAGGGGAAAGCGTCTTGGGACGAGGAGAATGAGAAGAAACTCGCCGAATACATCTGTGCACCAGAAAGATGGTCAAAAGCCCAGACCTCCATTAAGAAGTATTGCCAAGAGGTATGTAGACACCTCTCTGCGTTACTTTTTATGCGCTACACACCATTAAACTTGTTTTTAGGCTTCCCAGACGATATTGGATCAATATACTACCGATCAAGTGATTACAAAGTGGCATTCGTTGTTTAGGACATATAAGGACACGAAAAGTGAGTAACTCATTTATGTTGTACATCAAAATTGCTTACCCGAGCTTGTTAGAGTGGCAAAACCATACAGGAGGAGGTGATGGGGACGGGGAGATACCAGGCATGCGGACTTCTGTAGCAACATGCAAGAAATTTGCAGAAGGAGCAATCTTTGCTATCATCGACCGAGTGTGAGTCTTGCGAGCTCTTAGGCTCGTTTAATTCGTATGGTTCATACGAAGGCTTACCTGTTATTAGGGCGGATGGACGTCCAGACATCGAGAGGCCCATTGAATTCAGTTCTGGACGTAGCTTTGAGGATATCGAGGCAGATGTCGAGGAGGACGAGAAGAAACGCAAGAAATCTGATCCTGCTGCCGCATTCTCCGAAGTTGTCAGTGAGGCCCTGAAACTTGCACAAGAACGACAAGAAAAAATGACAGAGCTCGAATCTGAGCGATTTGCGTACCAGAAACGAAAGGATGAGAGGGATGAAGAGTACCAGAGGAAAAGAATGCGGTCTGAAGATCGAGCTGCAGAAATACGGATGCTACGCGATTTGGAAGACCTGCGCAACTCGAAATTAGATGGATACCGTGCGCTGCGTGATTCAGAGGATCCAGTGGAGAAGGAACTTGCTGTAGACCTTCAAGATGAGCTTCGAGAGATAGCGCAAAGGATCAGGGAACTTCGACAGGGTGGAAATTAGCATGGGCTGCGTCGAGAGGCTGGTTTCTACTATATGCTTTGAATAACACTTAAACTACAGTTCTTGTAACGTTCAGTAAGGTACTCGATATTTAAATGTCAATTCATTCATTCCTTCCATGGAGCGTGCTAAGTTACAGGATAGGAAAGGCATTTTTATTGCTAATGTGTGTCACGAATGAGTACAGAAAGTACCTAGATATTCCTGCGGTTCATGCGTTCGAGCAGATTCTTCCTGCGTAGCACGCCTATATTATAAAGCTCGTTTCCACCCATGCGATTTATATTCCTGGCCCGTTCTGCTGCCATTTGGTCTTCGCCGCCTCGAGCAGCAGCAAAAAGGCCCGTGTTATCATGACCGTCGTAGTTTGCAATAGTTTCTGGGTCGTCGTTTAAATCGATCAATATATTGTGTATGACCATCAGAGCTTCAACCGTCATATAAATGACGTTGAGCTTGTATCCGGGAAAACTTCGTAGGGAAGTGAATCGTCCTTTGAGCATCCCAAATGCGTGCTCAATCGCAATACGGCAATGCGAGAGTTTGAAGTTAAAATCTCGGCGACGGCGAGACTCTTGAGGGTCGTTTGTACGTTCGTAATCAGTGAACGGGCGGATAGTGAACTGGGTGAGTGGGTAACCTATATAAAATCGAAACATTAATGAACCCTGTGCCGTTCCAGGAGATTATGATGAACCAAATGGCACTCATGGTACAGATGGCGTACCTTTATCAGCTAGAATATACTCGTCTCTATCAAAGTGCTCTGCTAGGAATCGCCATATCCTGGACTCTTTGAAAACAGTGGTGTCTTGAACATTTCCGGGCCAGCCCAAGTCAAACTCGGTGAAGTGCTTTCTGTCGTCACAGACTGCCTGAAGAACGATCTAAGAGAAAGGACTATGAGAGAAATGCAAAAAGACAAAAAGACTATTATACTTACTGAATAGTACTTTTTTCTACTGAAGTAAAGATTTCCATCTTTCCTAGGTTTTGTAGCAAGTGGGATGAGTGAACCGTCCACCATACCAATACACCCTGGAAATCCTTCGGCTTGAAGACGTAATTTCAGTTCTAGACGACGTTCACCAGTAGGCCAAGTAAGAAACCGAGGCCTGAGCCGGCGAAAAGCAGTACAGACACGGGCACAGTATAGAGGTACTGTGCCTGCTGCAATGGATGATTGCTCTGCAACCTTAATGCCTGTTGTACCACCGTAACGCAGTAGAAATACGGCAAGTTGCTCCCAATGAGGACGCTGCGGACGTTTACTAGTTCTCCTGAAGACCTCATCATCCTTGATGAGGTCACTGAGCATCTTGAATGAAGTACGGTCGACTCTAAAGAGACATGGATTAGAATGCAGTGGCATGCATATGATTCATAACCTTCAAGACGTACCTGAAGAACGCTTTGAAAATATAATCCGAAGTACCAAACAGCAAGTTATTGAGGAAATCCTCAGAGTGGGATGCACTGTATGAGCCACGAAATGAAGGGCGAGCACGAAGGAGCAGACGATGAGCTTCATATGCAAGAAGAAGGCCGAGGAGCAGGTCGAATTCAGTGTCAAAATGCAGAATACACAGGGTAGATAGAGCACCCATGCTCATGGCAAATTTATTACTGTAATAAGTAGAGCCAGGCATCTTGAAAGGAGAATGGAGAGCGTAAGATATACAAGAAAACGGCCTGTATATGCACTTAACGCGCTCTTCCTATGTGGTCACATGACCGTGCTTCTTGGTATATTTCATGCTTCTTAAGGATTTACGTTGCGGTATGCAATCAAATTGTTTATTTTTTTTCAAACTCCGTCGCGTCTGCAAGTGCGAACAAGTGGGTTCGAGCACTTGCACGCACTTGCAGACAGTTGCGCAGATCTCATCTCCATTTGGTATCTA